TAATTTTTTACCCAGACAAATGTGCATATACCAGCTAAAGCAGCTGACTCGAGTAATAGACGAAAATTTTGCGACCGCCTTATAAAGTACACACACACACACACAAACATATGTATAGAGAATAGAATATAATAGCCGCGAGTTTGTGCACCTCTCACGAAAATAATTCTCACGGCTCAGGGCTCGCTCGCGCGTGCATATACACATGCAGTAAGTATAGTCGAGTATATATGCGGCTCTTTTGCGCGCGCTCCGATCGAGTTGAATTCCGCACGTTTGTGTACGACGGCGCGCGCGGCTTTACATAATACCTGTATACGTATACAGTATGCACAGTGCAGACACGGACACATGCGCAGGTATCACGATTATATGCATTCGACTGATTTTCTCGCGTGGTGTATGTGAAGAGCGAGAGAGAGAGAGAGAGAGAGAGAGAATAAAAAGCGAGGCGAGGCGGGGGGTTATATCACTGCACACACTCCTCGAGGCCGAAGGCCCAAGAGAATAGATATTATAACCCGAACGTTCAGCCCATTTGCGATCTCTCTCTCTCTCTTGGCGCGCCATTGACTTTCGTCGTCGTCGTCGGGTAGATCGTGGGCAGCGAGAGTATAAAGAAAGAGAGATCTATACGTTTTGCGAGGCATGTGCCTGGTGCGCGGTGCATATAATCCACGTACACACTCACACACACACGTACCATATATCTCTCTCGGAGTTGACGGTTTTAAGGCAATTGATTGGCATGTGTCGCGCAAGCTCGAGATGTTTCTTTTGTCCTCGCGCACCGGGTCTCCTTTACACACACGAGATTTCTCGACTCTCGGCTCGACTCCGGCCCCGCGATCGTGTGCGATATTTTTATTTATACGTTAAAACCAGTCGAGGCCCTACCGACGCGAACGGCTGATTTTCATATCGCCGCGAAAGTCGCGCGCGCGTGGACGGAAATTTCTTATGAGCCGATCGTCCCGGCCGTGTGTGTGTGTGATACGCGTCGGTGTATCGATTCCCAAAGTTCGATGTCCAAACTGCCAATTTACTCTTTGATCCTTATAAAAGCCCGTCTGGAAGTAGAGGAAAGTTTTTCTAATACCCATTGTGTATTAAAAGTTCGAGACTGCGGCAGCAGCACTCGGGTCTATAAAATGTGTTATATATAAATAAAGGTGCACGCAGAACTCGAGCATATATATCAGCCGATGAAAATCAAAAGTTTTCTCTTATATAAATCTCTCTATCTTTCGGAGAGCTTAGCCGCTGCTGCTCAGCACACTCTACGTTGCAAGTGCAATGTATATACGAGCACGAGCTCGTTGATCGAATTCTTATCCGTGATCTTCCAATTTTGAACGGCGCAGGGGGGAAGTTTTCGAGGCTCGCGTATATAACGAGCGCACCCGCGGATCGTCGTTATAACACGTTATAATGATACACTAAAACTCGCGGGAGAGAGAGAGAGAGAGAGGTCAGTTAAAATCTCGATTTATCATAAATCGCCGCGCTTCATCAAGTGTCAATAATTCCCACGATATCGATTCCTGACGTTATATAATCGCACGAAAAAAAAAAAAAAACATAAAATAAAACAAAGATGAGTAAAAAATGAAAATTAATTACCCATCTATTGAGCGTAAAAGGGGTCAAAGGTCACCCATAATACGCGATGAAGATCTATCTCGCTCGCTCTCTGATCGGCCTTGATCTTCTCGTATGCAGCGCGTACATAATGCGGTGCTGACTTGTATGCAGCAAGCGCGCGTGGCGCACATAGCTCGTAAACGATATGTGTAGTATATAATACGCACGTCGTGGTACGCATACAAGTGAACGATGTAAAAAGGTCACGGTCGTTGAACATCCCCGTGGTTGGCTTTGGCATTATTGAACCCGTTTCAAGAGCGATCGTTTCAGACTCACCATCGTCGCAAGTTTTATCATCTTGCATATAATACACGCCTGGATTACGAGATCGCGTTTCGATGGGTCTATACGCGAGTTGACAAGGAGACCACCCTGGTCTGGGTCACGGATTCGCTCCAAATTTTTGAAAAAATTCCAGCAGATTCTTTAAAAAATTTTAAAACTTTTGATCGTTGCATTTTTTCGTTTAAGTACTTCTATATCGATATAGAAAATAACAAAGATTTTTTTATAATGTGGAAAATCCTCTAAAAATAGGCCCTAGGTCCATGAGATCAAACCAAGCACAGCGAGCTTCAGTGTTGGGTACCAGGAAACCCCATAAAAATTTTGGAGCAAATCTATGACCAGCAGGTGGAGTGGTCTCCTTGTTAGACCTTGTTTGACCGTTATTTTCCGAATTGCTTGGATCCTCGCTCTTACCGCTTGAAAGCTCATCTTTTGGGTTACAATAATAGAAAATCACTGTCTGACCTCAATAAGTTAACTCTAGATAGTGTCAAACGCGTCAGTTTTTTCCCCATTTAAAAATAACATGAGAAAATTTAAAAAAATGTGAATTCGACTTTTAAACAACCTAAAATCGCTAAACTTTGGATTAGGCGATGGTTTTCACTTCCTGATACACCCATTATGAGTAACCAATACTTACGGAAACGTAATGCTAAAAACGCATATTAGCATTGTTTTTCGATATTTTACAGCAAAGATAAGCGTTATCATGTTATTGTCAAAGTTGAGATCTTTAATATGACCTTTAATATGATCATTATTTTAAGTGAGGATAGTACTAAAAACTATATACGTTCATTAGAACCAAAATTACAGACGTTTAAAGTTTGATTAAAAAATTCAGTATCGAATCTGTAAACTGTTCAAAACGAATTCGATACTTCGATAACGAAATCCATATCGAATCAAACAATTGACGATCTAAATAGAGTAAGATTAATTTTAGCCATTTTTTCGTTTTTGTCATATCGTCGTATGACGTGGCGTAATTTTGCAGCTAGTAAGAAGTCTAAGGGGAAAAATGTTGTATCTTATGAAGACGTTTTTAATGATAAAATTTGGGGTATGTTCAAACTACAATAAAAAATGTACATCCGCTTTTATTACGCTCCAAATTATTTCTTGTTCTTTTTTTCAGTTTTTCACACTTCACACAAGCTAGAATAACTCAAGCCCCCATTAAGCAAACAATCAGAACGATTATCAACTATAATCGACACTTTTTGCTAATCTATTTACTAAAAAAGAATTATACAATCGAATCGATTATAAATTGTCGACACCTTTTGCTTTATTATTATTATTTTTTTTTTCTAAAAGAGCATTCAAAATGAACGACCTGTTGGGGGCGAACTCGAGGCTACTTGTTCACGAGCTCGTGCGTGTAATGGATTTTTTTGCGCTGAGTTGAAATTTTAAGCACACATTATAGCTCTGTGCATGTGCGTACACGTTTATATACATTTTATGGCAGCTTAAACGTCGCTGCTTATTTGTTCTTCTTAATTACTTAACAGGTTTCATGTGTTGCGATTCCGCTATACACGTAGCCGCCACCACTGAAACAATGCTCATTTAACAATTGCGACGAGTTAAGTAAGGGCAATTAATCGGACAGTAATCTCTGCGCTTCTCTCTCTCTCTCTCTCTCTACCTCTTTCTTTCTCCGCGAGCGATCGTAGAAAAGTCGCAGTCTTGGCGCAGACACTGCGAGAAATTCAGTACGCGCGTGCGCGACAGCGCAAGAAAAGCCGAGCGCATTAGGAAAGTCGCGACCTTTAGACAATGCACCGCGCGCGCCGCATGCACCGAGCACCTCAGCTGCTTTCCTAGAAATTTACCGTACGGTGAATAGCTGCTGCTGCTGCTGCTGCTGCTGCCTCGCTTGGCCTTGGGGCGATTCGTAGTTGCCGCCTCGTAATGTATTTATATTCTGTATGTACGTATATGTATGTTTATGCAGGAGGGCACGCGGAGCGGCGCATTAGCGCGTGAATTTCATTTCCTAGGCGAGCGTCGCGAAAAAAAAAAATATCAGCGTATGCCCCCGTGCACTCGTTCCGATCCAATGTTGATGCTCATCTCTTCCTTCGCTTTATCTCTCTCTCTCTCTCTGTCTCTCTCTCTCTCTCTCTCTCTCTCTCTCGAGCTTTTGTGTGTCTACATTTAATACGATGAATCATAATATTATATTGAATACCGTTGCATTGGCGTGCCCAACTACTACTATATACTATACTGCTATTACTCCCAACAGCAGCAGCAGCAGCAGCATCATCATCATCAGAAACGTCGAAGCTGCATGCAGCTGCTGAGCTGGTGCACTCCTAGACCGATGCTGCGACTGTATGGTATATATATAGTGGTGCCAGTGCTGCCGATAAGCGCCGGTAATAGACGTATAAGGAAAGAACAGTCGCGTCTTATGGTAACAGTAAACTGTAACAGTATTAGACTGACCTATCCCAAGTCTTCTCCAGCATCGATATATGTGTATAGGTATATAGAAGAACTACCGGAGAGCTTCGCGTGTACTGCCCTTTTTTTATCATTCAGCTCGCGCGCGCTCGCGTTATATCGTGCTAAGCCGTAGCCAAGTTAAGAGGCGAGATAATTTATCCCGAGACACCACACCTTGTAGAGGCGCGAGATTGTACGTATAGCTCTTTCGACTCTCTCTGTTTCTCTACTAGCACGCATTTCATGTTACCTCCTCGTTTTTCCGGCTTTTTGCTACTGCAGTTGGGTGCATCAATATACTTTTGTTCACGGACCTTGCATGTTAAAAAGTACATGTTTTTTGGTTCGGTGGTCGCCTCGGCTACAACTGGTCCTTGCAACAACACCGAACCAATTGGTTCAAAGGCAAAACGGGAGCCAAGCCGCGTTCTATCACCCAGGGCTCAGATGCGACTCGTCATTGTTTGTTTCGTTGTGAAGGATTGGTGATACTTGTTAAAAGTATCGAGTGTTGGCGTCGATGAAACAAACATCGTTCGATTCTCTACACTCGATACTTTTGTTAAAGTATACAAGGTATCGATTTAAATTACTTTGTTGCATAATATTTTGAATTACATTAGTAATAGAATTGGTCTTTATTTAATAAAAATATCTAAATGACATTTGATTACTTATTAAATTTACACATTAAATTTAAACATATTTTTGTTTTAATTACAGTTTCTTAATTAACTAGGTCAATTATTCAAATCGAAATTTAATTAACACTTGGTCCAGCTTCTTTAATATCGCTTTCCTGTACCGACAATTTCTGTACATTTATTTCAGCTTCTTCAATCTCGCTTTCCACAAGCGAAATCTGCTCTAAGCTTAGTTCAGATTCTTTAACATCACCTTCTTTGGCATCACCTTCTTTGTCATCAACTTCTTTGGCATCGCCTTCTTTGGCATCGCCTTCTACGGCATCGTCTTCTTTGACTGCAAGTTTTTTGAATTCGCCTACTTTAACTTCGCCTTCTTTGACTGCGCCTTCTTGGACTTCTCCTTCTGGGCCCCAACAGCCCTTACAAATTTTCCTGATTCCATCTGGACTTTGTCCTTTCATGCGACCTGCTACTTCTGTGCTCGCAAGGGTCAACAAATCCTTCATATCTAAATAATTGGCTGCCAAAATATACTCACACAAAGTGTTCATTTCAACCTGCAACATTATAAAAAAATTAAAATGTTAGTGATATCTCAAATAGCATACATCATTTTTGTAATATTGATTGAAATTTTAAGCTTATTTCTGCAATTAAAAGTAAATATCTTCAATAATTCGAGTTATTGAATATCAGATTTAGTCCACATGTATACACTTACAACTTTACAGCATAAATAAGTGTGGTTATTGTGTTGACGACTTTATTCAGTAAAGCAAACATAAATATCATTTTTACTCGTTAGATTGTAAATTCAAATTTTACGTTTAAATTTTCAATATAAATTGCACTAAAAAGAATGTTCAAACTTAATATTGTTCAAATACCTTTAGAAATTGTTTGTCCCATTCTGTCGGTGTAATCTTTTCTAGGTCTTCTTTTGTGTCTTCTTCACTCGGCATTGGGTCATCTTTGTGATGAGTAGCGAATTCAATGACCTTTTCTAAAATATCAGACTTAATATTGGTTAAAGGAAGAGCTTCATCCAAGTTGCCATCGCCTAAACTTGCAATCATTGTTTGTATCACTACTGAGCGCTTAGCGATTTCTAACTCCACATTATAAACCACATTGTCGTTGCTTTTTAACTGAAGGATAGTCATCTGTAATAAAATTAAAAACGATATTAGTCAATTGTTTTACATTTATTCCATTGATTCAAAAAGATTTCATAATTTTTAATTTTATAAGCGCATGCCTATTAAACCGGGCCGTTTTTGCAAAAAATTTTTGTATCGCCTGGGCCCATGGAGCTGCAAGTTCAAAGTTTCAAATAAAAAAAGCCGGGCTCAAGAAGTCCAAAAAGTGACGGAAACCGGTGTCGATAGGCTCTTGAAGTTTAAAAACGTGCTTCGAAAATTTAGCAAAATCGCTCTCAAAATGGCAATCATATTATAGATTGCTAACATTGCTCTGAGGGTAAAATTTATTTGGACAAGACGTTGTCTTACGTAATTTTATGTGTAAAATCCAATTCCGTAATCAGTTTTGATCTAGAAGAACGATTTCATTGCAAACATTCACTTTTTCGATATTTTTATTATGCTTAAAAAACAAAAAATTGTCTTGTAAACGTTTAAAAATAAACAGAAAAATACCAGAAAATTTTTTGACGATCATAATATATACCTTTTGATTTGTCACAAAAAAATCCTAAATTTTAGCAATGTCAAAAAATTTTCTGGTTTTTTTCTTAGAAAAAAAAACTATATTATTAGCTCGTTTGCGAGCAACTATTCGACGATTTTGGGTGATTTTGAGTGAAAAAATATCGGAAAAGTGCAATTTTACCACTGAAAATAATTTCTCAGACAAAACCAATACTTTCATTGGATTGTGCGGAAAAAATCCTTCATCTCAAAATGTTTAGAGAATTTCCTAGATTTTTTTTATGCGTTTCCTCATCGGTTAAAATGGAATTTTTCTAAAATTTTATCCGAAAAAGCAGGGAAAAGGTCGATTTTCACTACTAAAATGCAGTGTAATCGCTATTCAGGTATTACCAATCGATTCTACGACCAAAAGTATCTAAGAAAATGTATTGATTAAATATTTTTTCAAAACGGCTCGGTCTACTATACAAGCCGGGTATCTCGCGTAACGCCCGTACAGACAGCTGTGTAGGTACAGGTTTAGGTGACACATCGGCGGATGATCTCGCAGGAGCGTGGGTGCGCACACATAGAACGATCGATTTGTGTGCGCAACGACAGACACATGGGCGGGGCAAGCTATCAAACTTTTCAAGTGGATGTGTGTGAACATAATCATGTGGTCTATCGAATACAAGTCCCAGAGTGAGTAGCTCGAATGTCATCGAAGCCACGTGCGCGTGAACGCTAGATGTACGCGTTTAAACACGGGCTCGAAAAAATCGTCACATTATGATGTCAAAATCCATGATAACTTTACGGTAGTTTTTAAAATACTTTCATTTGACCGGGTTATTTTCTTTTACAATATTCTTTAACGCGTTGTCTTTATTCAACAAAAGTTTTGAATCAATAACAAAAAAATTTAGAATGTTTAAATTAAATCGTATTCCGAAATTTCAAGACGTCGCGCCTGGTCATTCGTACGATCCCGATTTTGAATGAAATTATTATATTTTTAATAATTAATTACTCATCGAAGTTGTTGCATAAAGTTAATTACAACGAGCACGTGAACGACTGAGCTACTTGGGGGTAAAGGAAGGTTATAATGTAAGACGTATGAAAAAAAAATTTACAAAGTATCATCGAAGTTAAAATTAATTATAACGATGGTGTGGGCAAAATATCTGAACTTTTCTCAAAGGTAATCTAAACTAGTTGCACAAACTTACCCTTAAACTATAAATGAAGTATATTTACTTTGAACTTACTGTGATTATGTTGGTTGTTGATAAATTTAACGAAATATTCAATCGTCCGTGATGCTTGGTCGATGGATTTCAGAAGCGGCTGTTTGCTCTTTAGATGATGCTTGGTCTTTGGCTCCGGGCACAGTGAGGCTACTTCTCACTTTTCGAGGCTTATATCCACCGATCAGCTGCTGGCCCCTGGCGCTCCAATGTCCCCCACCCATCATCTTCAGTAAAACTTCAAGAACGCCGGGCTTTCCTATTATAAGTATTAGAACGCGGGAATATCGTATTATAAGCATTAGAATGGTGGAACATGTATCGGCGTATGTAATAAGTAGAACGTTGTAGAAAACTCAAATTATGTAGCTTTTACTCAAATTTTCGGTTGATAACACTAGATCTTAAAGAGTTTGTTCAACTGAAAAGTTCAAGTTAACCCTTTAACGCCTGAAATGCCCACTTTTGGATAACATTTATATCGATAAATTACACAGACTAGAAATTGTTTAAAAACTTTACAGACATCATTTCTCACGTAAAATTTAATGTACTTTTCGAATCCGGGATCAGAATTTAAAAAAAATTCTTAAATAAAAAGTTATAAACAATTATGTAAAAAAAACATGAAATTTCGAGAAAAAAATCTCGTTTAACTCAAATTTCAACACGGAAAAAAGGTTCGCTCGTGCGTCTCACGCATATAAATTTGGTCAATGGCATTTATACTTTATTGTAAAATAGTTATAATAACGAAATTCAAAATGGCGGTCATAAATTTGACTCCCGAAGACCTGTATGTCATAAAATGATTTCGACAATTTTTATCTCGATAACCATAAACTTTACAAGAAAAAGTTGTAGAATAAAACGTGTTTAGAATGGATCATAGAACACGCCTGATTTTTTTCAGAATTTTTGGAGCAATTTTTGGATTTCTGGATAACACCATTTTTTCAAAAATTCAAAAATCGTTCCAAAAAATTCTCAAAAAAATCAGGCGTGTTCTTTGATCATTTCTAAACCCTTTTTGTTCTATAACTTTTTCTCGTAAAAATGATGATTATCAAGTTGAAAATTCTTGAACAATAGGTTTCATTTTTGATTTTTGATTTCGGCTGAGAACGTTCAAAGAGTTATTTAAATTTACATTTTTTGTGCTCGGTCGGTAAAAACAAGGCATCGTCTGAAGATGATGCAGAAGACCCAATTTTGACCAACCGAGCATTTAAAGTGTAAATTTAAATAACTTTTTTACTAGACCGATTTTCGAAAAACGGCTCTGTGGAGCCCTTCGTATTGATGATGTGAACAACTGTATCAAAGTTCGTCCCATTTCATTCAATAGTTTTTCCGGAAAACGGGATCGAAATTTTTAAGTCTGAAAACCTTCATCAAAAATTTCGATCCCGTTTTCCGGAAAAACTATTGAATGAAATGGGATGAAATTTGATACAGTTGTTCACAGCATCAATACGAAGGGCTCCACAGAGCCGTTTTTCGAAAATCGGTCTAGTAAAAAAGTTATTTAAATTTACACTTTTAATGCTCGGTTGGTCAAAATCGGGTCTTCTGCATCATCTTCAAACGATGCCTTGGCCACAATTTTTACCGACCGAGCACAAAAAATGTATATTTTCGTAACTTTTTTTCCAAGCTGATTTTCGGAAAACGGCTCTGTAAAGCCCTCCGTATTGTTGCTGTGAACAACTGCGACAAATTTCAGACAATTTCATCGGATAGTTTTCCCGGAAATCAGGATCAAAATTTTTTATCCTACAAACAGTAATCAAAAATTTCGATCCTGTTTTCCGGAAAAACTACCCGATGAAATTGGCTGAAATTTGGTGAAGTTATTAACAGCTATAATACGAAGAGCTCCACAGAGCAGTTTTTCGAAAGTTGGTCTAGAAAAAAAATTATTTAAATATACATTTTCTGTGCTCGGTCGATAAAAATTGTGGCCAAGGCATCGTCTTGATATCTTTTGAAAATGATTAAAAACACCCATTTATAATTATATCATTCGAAAGCTAATGACATTTCCTATATATATATCTATTAATTTTATTAACTTCTAAAGTGATTTGAGCTCACAGTACACTAAAAACTGCCACTTCCCATACAATTCAATGATAAATGGTCAAAACTTTGAATTTCATTATTTCCCAAGTTTGCATGGAAACCCCAAATTTTTTTTACCAAAAATCTTGTAATTTCCATGATAACCCACCGAAACACAATTCACAATGAACAAAAGGATTACGAATGCAACATGTGCGAGGAAAAATTTGAGTTCCGAAGTCATTTGTGTAAACACCAAATATCAGTACACAAATGCGGCAACAATTATGCATTCGAGAAATGCCAGAATCCATCTGGGAAAAAATCGAATTCATTTAGCCATCAAAAAACAGTTCATGAAGGTTGAATAGATTACAAATGTGATAAGTGCAAGAAAACTTTTGGACACAAATCACATTGGCTTTTGCACCGGAAGAGAGTCCACGAAGATCGCAAAATATTACGCTTGAAACAATTGTGAAAAGATGATTGACAATTGTAAATATGTACAGATACTTGTATATATAATTTTCTAAAATGTCAATAAAAATTGGTCTAAAAGTTCTCTCGAATTTATTCTATTATTTGTTATTTCTCGCAAAACGAATTGACGCATTACCACAATAGCATCACAGAAATCATTGGAAGCAAATATTGTAAATTAAATTCTAGATCACATTGGCGCGCGCTTACTTTCTGTTTTCTTTACGAGTAATAATTATTAACGCACAAAAACGCAAATCAAAAGTAATACGAATTGAAAGACAGATTGATCAATATATAGCAAGCCGATATGCAATACAATTATCTTTCCTCATTTTTTCCCTCTGATTATATCCAGGCTCAACATACTCAAGAATTATTCACATCTTGTTTGCATTTCGATTCGGCGGCGTACGGAAAATCGTGACGGACGAGCGAGCAGCGTATGTTTGTGCCGGTGCACATCGAGGATCCTCGAGAGCCGTCAGTTATGCTGTATATATACCAATGCACACGAGGCGCCCAGGACGATGATTTGCAAAGTTCAACGAGCAGAGATCGATTGCTCGGCGATGCATCGCGATCGCTAGCTCGCTCGCTGGCTTGCCAATGAACTTTAAACAAAACAAAAAAAAATCGCAATAAGAGGAGAGCGCACGAGAGACGAGAGAGAGATACGCGCAGGAAGTTATTATTATTGATTGTAAAGGAAATCTTTTCGCTGCGCGCGGAAAAATTACAGCCCTACGAGAGAGAGAGAGAGAGAGAGAGAGAGAGAGATTAGAAGTGCACGGAACAACTGCGTAAATGAAATTGATCAGTTATTAGTAGTTCGCGTATCATCGTTGCACGTATGTGTACCGGCATGAAAGAAGATTTCCTAGGAAACGATCGCATATAATATCCGTGCGAGAATTATTTATCAGGAATTAAACCTGAAATTATTTTTAATGAAACTGCATGCGTAAATGAAAATTGATGGACAGGAGTAATATATAAGATATCGAACGAGTGACAGTCTGATTTTGAGAACAAGAGAAAAATTAGACGATTAGTGGTCGTTTAGCCGGAAACGGTAGAAAGAAGACGCCCTGAAAAAAATTGAATACTTCTCGCTGCATTTCTCTCTTCGACACCCTCACGTGGCGTTCATCCTTAGAACGCATTACAGTACATACAAACTGCATGATTCATGTACGAGGCATTCTTCCGACGGTTGCGGGGCAGCGTCTCATTTTTATTCTCTCTTTATCTTTCTATCCTTTCTCTCACTCGGGGGATAAATATATGTGCAGAGAAGAGACCGCGGAGCGTACGCGTGCACCGTGCGGCCGCTATATGACGTTTCTATCGGCGGCGCAGAGAAACACTAGCGCAACATCTCGGCTACTTAAATGTTAATGCGTTGAATCCTCTCCTCTCGACTTTGTACACACATTCATATTCAGCGTGTGTCTGCATATACGTTTAAGCAGCTGAGCCTCCGCGAGGATCTCGAAGGAAAATACGAGGTATATATCTCGTGGGTGGTCGCGCGGCCGCCGCCGTGCACGCGCGAGAGAAACTGCAGCTTCGAATATGTGCTCTATGAATGCTTTGTGCGCGCGCGGAGCAGTCTCTGTATACCGAACTCGAATTGAAGGAGAAGAGAAGAGAAGAAGAGGAAGAAATGGTATGAGGCATCCGTAGCCCGTACGCGATATTATTGTGATATACACGCACACACGCATCTGCCAACTCGAGGTATATACGCCAACGCAATGAAGAAATTCACCGTAAGATATGCGTTTAATCGCTCTCCTCGAAATTGGCATTTCGTACGTACTACGTACTCGAGACTAGACTTGAATTCGACGATGAGATCTCTCTCGGAGCTACAGAGCAAAATTACGTAAGAAATAGTATAGATGCGCGCCGCAAGACAGCTGCACAACGAAATGGAAGAAAAAGCCGAAGTAAAAAAAAGTGGTATTATCTCATCGGTGTGTAGAGTAGCTACCGTGCGTACGCCTCTCGAGCTGATAGTAACTCAACGTATCATTAAGCCGTCGCGCGCGCGCGTACTGCCGAGCGCACTTATATTGTCTAATTACTCGACTCGTACCAGACGCACAAAAAAAAAAAAAAAATACGACGACGATGCTACTGCAACCCCTGCGTGTCTCCTGCGTGACCTTTTACTCGGGTACACCGTAAAGCACAGCGTGCATAAATAAGGTCGAAATTGCGCGAATGTCTCGGATCGACGTACGTACACCTATACGCGCTTCCATATATTTACGCGATTAATTAGGACAATTATCGCAGATTTTTATCGGAGTGAGACTCGTGTGCATGCGCGCGAGCACGTGTTTATGTGCATAACGTAGGGCTAAAAAAAAAAAGACAAACAAACAGCGGATTGAGGAAGTTCAGCTGCGCATAATGCACGCGCACAAACACACGCACCGAGTATATAATTAAAAAGAGCAACGAGCGCGGCGCAGCGAAGGATGTATCAAATAGAAAAATCATATTCTCGTCGTGTTGTAGGCCCATAAATGCGCCTCGAGGACTTGCTCGCTGCCATAAAAACGTGTGTGTGTATTATAAAAAGA